AAACATAAAACTATAACAAATGTTATAATAAAACATGACTAAAACATTTTTATTATTGCTCTTTTCTCCTTAACTGAGTACATTTTTTAATCAACTTAATTTTTCTTTTAAATAATAAATCACAAAATTTTGGCCATTTAAATCATAGATAATAAATAAACGTTAATATGACAAAACGCAACACGTAATACACATTCTTTTCACGGCGTCTGGCCTGACTTTTAGGGGTGGCCTGAAAAATGTATTATATTTTAGCAAAATTTTGGAATACGTTTAAGTCGTAGAACAATTTTAACAATTGTTTTCGATACATATTTGAGTCCTCTACAAATAGTTTCCCATGACTTTTGGTGTAAAATGATTAGGGAAGCAGGAATTCAACAGTTTATAATTTCTCATTGAGTTTCTATGGCCCGTTTGACGATTCACCACCCTGTATATATATATATATATATATATATATATATATATATATATATGTATATATATATATATATATATATATATAATATGTATATATATATAATATATATATATATATATATATAAATATATATATATATATATATATATATATATATATGTATATATATATTATATATATATATATATATATATATATATATTATATATACAATGTGAGTGAGATTACAATCTCACTGTAAATGATGATATCGGTCAAGGTGAAATAAAAAATAAAAAAAAAACTATTTCAATCTTTTAATAGAAAATGTTTCGTGCAGTATTTCTGCACTTCTTCAGTTCTTATGATTGTAAAGTCATATATAGATGTCAAACAATGTCAAAAGCATATGTTGAGGTATTACAAAATACATTTAAAAAATACAATAAAATTACAGTAAAAAACATATTCAGAGATTTTTTAAAATTTATACAAACATAAAAAAGTCACAACAATGTCGCATAATGTTAACAAGGACAGCATAATATAATACAATACTTCTATTCTATCGCTGATGTATAATATATCGAAACATGAAGCCAGGAGAAAAAGTAACTTGTTTTAATTGGAGCTTAGTGAACAATTTGAAAAAAAAATTATTGAAAAAAAGCATGGAAAGTTAACTTTATTGTTAGAGACACCAAAGTAATTAAAAAAGCAACTATTTCTGACATATAAGGATCTACTATTCCGAAGAGAAAAACAAAAAATAATATGGCTTTCTATCAATGGAAATCAGTCTTTGTACGAAAAATCAATTAGATGACAAAAATACTCGTTTATGCAGAACAGAATAGAAAAGTCAATTTATTTATAAATCTGATTAAAAAGAAGGTTGGAAATATAAGGTTCCGATGACCATTATTGGGGAACCTAGAATTAGTGAATATTAATGAAATATAATGTGATATGAATTTGATGGATTCGACCGTTACTTGATGGAAATTCATTTTATGTAACAATAAAACACTGAAAACTTTGTTTTCAAATTTCCACAAAATTTATTTTAAATCTTATCAATACAGCTGTTTCGGCTGATTGCCTTTCTCAAGTGATCTATTTTTGGCTTGGGTTTACAAATTTATAGTCTCTAATGAAATAGATTGAGGAGGGGAGAACTGTTTGTCTCATGTTGGTCATTCAGAATTATATCTGTGTTTTTTAATTTGTTGATTTCCATAGATTCTAACAAGGATAGCTTAATGCCTTTATTTTGAATGTGAATAATTTTAAATTTGTCATTAAAAGAATGATTATGATCTAGAAGGTGAAGTGCGTATGTCGAATCGTTTTTCTATTCTTGAAAGCCCTTTTATGTTCTGCTATTCGTTTATCAAAGTTTCTACCAGTTTGACCGATGTTAGTTTTTGGGCATTCACCACATTGATGTTTGTACACACCACTATTTAAGTGTTTTTTATTTTGGCTCTTGTTATTTTTAATATATTTGCCTAGGTTGTTATTTGTTCGGAAAGCTGGTGTTATTCCTTTCTTTTTTATATGTTTGGCAATTTTTGTTGTTATTTTGCCTGTATATGTAATCGAGCAGAAGGTACTGGGTTTTTTCTCTGGTGGTGGAAATACTAATTTCAGGGCTTTCTTGTGTAGTTTTTGATTTAACATTTTATTAATTGGTTGTTCGTTGTATCCGTTGTTTACTGCTATTTGCTTCATTATATTTAATTCTGTCTCAAAGTTGTATTTTGACATCGGAATTTCTGTTAATCTATGTAACATACTATGATAAGCTGCCAGTTTATGTTGTGTTGGATTGGATGATGAATTGAATAAACCTACCCATACTGACACGACTATACACAATTCATCATCCCAAGACAGCTGGAATCACTCATACGAGATTAAATGTAGGATCGAAAAAGTAAGGAGTGCCTTCCAACAGATGAAGAAAGTTCTCTACAATTTAACCCTGAACGTACATCTCTGACTTAAAATCCTTTATTGTTATGTGATTTCTGTTTTTATGTATGGAGTAGAGGCATGGACACACACTGATGCGTCTTGCAGACGGTTGCAGTCTTTCGAGATGTGGTGCTATCGTCGCATGCTTAGAATATCATATGTACATCATATAACTAACGACGCAGTAAAGTAACGTTTACAAAAAGAACCTGAAGTCTTGAAATTCATTAAAGAGAGAAAGTTAGCATACTTCGGACATATAGTGAGAAATGAAAATAAATACAGAATCCTACTATTGATAATAGAAGGGAACATAGAAGAAAATAGAGGACCAGGACGCCGCCGAATATCCTGGCTTAAGAATTTGAGACAGTGGATAGGTATAACCACCACAGACCTATTTTGAACAGCTGCTAGTAGAATACGATGGGCCATTGTAGTAGCCAACATCCATAGAGGATAGGCACTAGCAGAAGAATAAAAAAATGAACCAAATATACAAACTGCAAAGAATCAAAGTCTAAGATATAATTAAAGAAACTAGAGCAGAAACTAGTTATTATTATACGTTATCATCCCAAAATAGAGGGCAAAATAGAGGGCCCTAGAGGTGTAGGAAGAAAACAAGTTTTTTGGTTAAAAAACAATTGTTAATGGACTCAGATACCAAATGCAGGACAATTATTCCATATTGCAGAAGATCGAGAAGCCTTCGCAATGGTGATCGCCAACGTCGAATAGTTCTGATATGGCACGCGAAGAAGAAGAAGAGCAGAAATATTGAAATTATATGCTGGACATAGAAATCTAGAAGCAATGTGGATCTTAGTGTGTGCATACACAGACGATCTAGTGATATTTGGGATAAATGAAGAAACACTCAATCGAAATTTACAATTATGGAACTCTGCACTAATTAAACGAAATTTTAGGATCAGTAATGAGAAGACGAAAGTAATGGTCTGTTTAAAAAATAGAAAACAAGCGAAGATAACACTTAATGGAAATACACTTGAACAAGTCGATACTTAAGAAATACTTGGGAGTACAAAAAGAGAACAGAGGAATTGAAGAAACTGAAATAAGTTCCAGAATAGAAAGTGCTGCTCGGATGTACCTCGTAATTAAAAGTACGTTTTTGTCGATATAAAAATATAAAAAAAGCTTAATGACAAATTAAAATCGAAAATACAGAGCATAGAAATGAAGTTTCTTAGAGGACTAATGGGTATAACCAGGTTACACAGGATTAGAGATGAGGCAGTCGGAGAAAAACTTAAGGTCCAACCAATTATTAAAAAAATTATAGATGCCCAACTAAGATGATATGGAAACATGGTTAGAATGAATTAAGAAAGACCAGTTAAAAAAGTATGGGAAGCCAGAAGACAAACCAAGAGACCAAGGAGCAGGCCAATGAAGACATGTATGATAATGTAACCTCAATCCTAGAGACACGAGGAATCAGCAAAGAACAAGCAAGAAAACCAAGCAAAGAATAAGAAGTAATGGAGAAAAATTGTACATGCAACTAACTAGAGGCATTACACCCGACACCTTAGGGTAAATGGGGTTAGAATATATATATATATATATATATATATATATATATATATATATATATATATATATATATATATATATATATTATATATATATATATATGAACTAAATGAAGGAAAACGAGTAAAATAGGTAAAATTATTATTCTTATGTAAAAAGCAGGGAGAGATCTTCCATGTGAAAACTCATTATATTTATAAATTTGTGGTAAACATGTTAAAATAACTGACAATGTAATGTTAGTTATGAATTCCGAAATGGTATCACAATGTCACAACACAACTTGCAATAGGTTAACGATAAACATTATCTGGTAAACAAAGGACCTTTTATTTCCGTAACAAACAGAAAAAGCAGACACAAGTACTTATTTATTAAAACAATGCCCAAAATATCTATAAGAAGTATTACTTTCCAAATACCTTCTAACTACGCCGCTGCCAGAAATTTTGAATGAAATAGCGTCAAGTCGAGGAAAGCCAATAAAAAACTTTAAGATCATAAATTTTCTGCTCTGGAAAATGTTGATTCTCGGAGTAGAGAAATGAATATTAACATCTAAAATAGTACTTATGGACAATTATCTATTTTTAACTTTTAATATAAAGCGAAGTTATTGGGAGCCACTTGACATCTGTATAGAAGACATTAATAGATGCTATAATTGTTCAACAGATTTTTTTAGTATCGCATTGCATGTAGCATTTAAATCCTAAAATGAAATAAATTAGGAATTATGAATGTATTTACATATTCCGTTAATATAATTGTGATGAATAGTTTTGAGATATATAATTGATTGTTTTGAAAGATTTTATGATTTTATTTTCATTAATATTTTCGGGAATAATGTTTTTTATATTCCAACACAGATTTTTTGTATCAATACATGTTCATAGTGTTTTTAACAAAGCAACATTACAGTAGTGGGTGACAGTAGGAATACATCTTTCAATTGTATTGTTGAGTATAGACAGAGGACGAAATTTTTGTTGTTTGTAAGTGAAACATGTCTTTTATATATAGTGAGTAAATTATGAAAGAGTGAGCGTACCTTGTAGCGCTCCTAGAGCGATGATGCCCAGGCCCTACGGTCATAGGCCTTCCTCTCTCCTCCAACATAGGACTCCCCAAATCCTCGTCTCTATAATACGGCGAAGAATGGTGATACCCGTACCCGTGTTCCGGTGAATTATTACCCGATCTCGTCTGCCTCAAGGGCTTCCGACCTAGGGGACTGCCACCGGGGTATGCCCCCCGACTGGGGGAGCGGTCCACAGTGGGAAGTCTCACGCCTCGCGGAGACCGGGTTCCCCCCACGTACGCGTCACGGGACATCTCATGACATTTTACAGCATTTCAAGACATTGTCTCACTTTTTACGGGACTGACTCTCTCACAGGGGTTGAATTGTGTCTCCGCGAGCTGTTCGATCCGTGCCTTACTCGGCCACTCTGTACACTGGACTCGCTGTGTCGCTGATCAATGAAACGGGTGTAGTGTGTGGATGCGTGCGCAATGTACACGCGACACCTACATTCGACGCCAAAGGCGGAGGAGGATGTAGGTAGAAGGGCCCGGGATATTATCCCAGGTCGGCGATTCGCAATCCTCAAATTCTTTGTACCTCTTCAACTCGACAATAAACATACGAGCAATGTATATCCGCGGCGTTTCATTTATCACTCATTCAACTCTGATTAGATTAATTTCGCGGCGGCTGCAGAAAGAATATTCTTACAATTTCATGCAATATCAAAGCTCGCTGTCCTGGATAAATTATTTACTTATATTTTGTAAAATATAATAAATAACATTTGCTGTTTAATATACAATAAGTTCAAGTTAAAAATTATTAATTTTAGATACAGGTTTTGTACACTCTGATTTAACTTATATTGGATTATTTCATGGTGGACTTTTCTAACTACCACGCGTTAAAAAAATTCATCTCTTTCGAAAAGTTTTTTACTAACATATGGATAAATAATATTTGTGTTCCATATTTTATAAGTTAAAAATATCCCGAATTAAGTTGATTTTCCTGTTATATTTTTTAAATTCAACACATAAATGAAACTTCTTCTTCTTCATCTTCTCCGTCGTCTTCTTTTGAGAAGACTAGGTTAACGCTTTTCTGAGTCCTTCTTGCGAGTCCAAACAACTTTTGTAGCTTTCTTGAGATGGGAAATATTCCAAAAAGATAACAAAAGATAACAAATATTGGCCATGTTACCTTTTCGAATTAGACCAACTGAATTGTTTCGGCAACAATCAGCTTTCGGCTGACGGTAACGTATTGGAATGATAATATCACGCCAGTTCGTGCAAGTACAGCTAGCTCACTTGACCGTTGTTTATTGTAATATACTCAGTGATGTCGTCTAGTAGCGAGAGTGAAGATGAAAATAATACGCAAAAAGAGTAAAGATGTTGTGAATGCATACAACTATAAACAAAATTTTATACGAATTGCCAAGGTGAAAGGAAAAGCTCATATAAATTATGTTGGAAAAGAAGTTCCTCAGAGAAAAAAAAAAGGAGTAAACTGTGGGTAAATAAAAATAGTACACTTCTTAGAGTACAAAGTTAAATAGATTTTTTTATTATTTTTAGCTGTCTAAAGAAGTGTTGCCACATGTTCTCTTGTGAAAACAAGGTGGAAATTATAGCCAATCTTAACCAACTTTTAAACAAAAATGAGCAGGATTTATATCTGCATGGACTCATAGACTCGAATCAGGTGCAAAACATTGGAAACCGTAAGGCATCCGTAGCATCAAGTAAGCATAAACGTTATTCTTGCAAATACTATGTTTGTCGTAATGGGTAGAGAAAAGAAGTACGCAAAAAAGCTTTCATAAGCTTGCATGAAATTACAATAAAAAGAGTTTATCATTTATGCAAACTAAAGTCTGAAAACAAACTTTCTCGTGATTTAAGAGGAACAGCAATATCATCTAGGCATAATGCTATTGATTGCATCGAACGCATGAATTTGTTGATTCGTTACCTAAAAAAAAATCCACTACTCAAAGCAATATTCAAAAAAAAAATACCTGTCTGCTTCATTAAACATTAAAATTATTCATGAAATATTTCTTGAGAAGAATCCGGATGTCACCGATAAAATCATAAAATATAACTACTTCTGTTCCTATTTTAAAGAAAATTTCGATCTTTCGTTTGGCCAACCTCAGGTGGATGTGTGTTCACTGTGTGAAAATTTTAAAAACTAAGATAGCAAATCCATTTTTAAATGAAAATTCTAAAAGGGTTGCTGTAGCTGAGCTTCTAGTGCATAAAAGAATAGCAAAGAAATTCTACGCAAAAATACATGAAATAAGCAGAATGTACAGAGAAAGACAGGATGTAATGGCAATAACAATCGATTACATGCAAAATCTGCCACTTCCCCATATTCCTGTGCAAGAGGTGTTTTACTACAGGCAGCTATGGATTTACGAATTTTGTATTCATGATATAAAGAACAACAAAGCCTTTTTTTTATTCATACCAAGGAGAATCCTTAAAAGGTCCAAATGAAATATGTACATTTTTGCTCAATTTTATTGAAGAACACGTACTCTTAACGGTAACTGAGTTGTATCTTTTCTGAGACGGATGAATCGGCCAAAATAAAAATAATACCGTAGTGCGATTGTTGTTAACGCTAACATCAAGTGGTCGGTTTCAAAATATCACACATTACTTTCCAATGAGGGGACATTCTTTTAATAAATGTGATCGAGATTTTGGAATTGTGAAAAGAAAACTACAGAGACATGATAGAATATACTTTCATGATGAATATATCTCTCTTATTGAGACTACTTCAAAAAGTAAATGAAATCTTAGTGTTCACATAGTCGGTACGAAAGTAATCGACTTCAAAAAATGGTAGAAAAAAAAATTTAAAAAGCAAGTTTTGTCAATATCAAGCTATGGCAAGAACATTGTCACTGTTAAAAAAAGTTTCCTTTGAAGTCAACAATTTCTATGAGTTCGATATTCTAAGGAAACTCCTGGCAAAGTAACTGCACTTCCATTTATTGATGGAATAATCCAGGAGTGTTTTGGATTAGCCAAAATACAAGAAAGCAGAGTTAATCTTCCTCTGACTGCGTTTCATATCATGCATATTCCGGCAAATTGCCTATTGAAGAAATTGAAGACTTAAAGAAACTGTTGGTGTATATTCCAGTAGAAAAAAAATATTGGTCCCAGATTGTCACATGGCCTACAATAGAGCAAGCTGAACTAGCAGAAGAGCAGATTTCTAATTAGTGTAAAGTTTATTATTTGTATTTTCAAAATTTTTTTTTTTTCATATTATTTGAATTAAACTGAAATAATATAATGATTGCTTCATTTTTTCTTGGACTCGCACACATTTGTTTCGAAAAGGTAACATATGCAAAATATTTAAACAAATACTCTATTGGTATAGTGTAGTTTAAGCTATTGACAACCATGGCATTGTGCAAACAACACATCCACTATCAACTCATATATTTGAAATATTTTTGTAACTACATCATTTTTGAAGAAAATCAGTTTTTTTATCTTCCTGTAAACTTTGCACTTATGTACATATTCTTTTTTCAAAATAAGTGATTCAATTATAATTGTGGAAACAATAAATGACCAACTGTTTTTCAAAATTTTCCAGTATAATCTTATGACTTCTGTCTGTGTACATATATTTGTAAAGTATGAAACTTCTTTATACACCAACGGATGTAATGGGAGCATATTTTAAATTTACAAAAATATCTGGTTCTAAATCTATTTCTTCGCAAAAATTTACCAACAACAACGTCAGCTACCTCAACAGGTTATTGAAAACCCTGTTTTTGAGATAATGTTTCAACTGTTTGAAAAATATCTTTTTCAGTGTCTCCTTTAATATTTTGACAAATTCTCATTTCTTTTATTAAGGCTATGCTTTCTACCAAGGATAACTTTGATGATTTTAATTGTGTAATAGATTTTTGAAGCAAACTAAAATTTGATTTAATGAATGACAGTTGCTGGTGAAAAACGTTGTTTTCCACGGCTTCCAGCCATGTTCCCCAACGTGTTCGGGTTCTTTTGGAAGTGGAATATTTTAAAGCATTTCTTTATAAAATTGAATTCTTATAGAAGAATTGAGAAATACTTTCTTATGCTTTATATCAGAGAGTTTATAAAAGAAAATATTTTTCCAATTTCTTCCGAAGTCTGTTCATTCCATGTACTAAACAAATAACTTGTATTACGTTGGTATAAAGTATTTTTAAATTTTTCTAGTTACTTACAAGAAATTAAATAGGATTTTAGGAATATATGATTGCTTAGAACACCTCGTTAGGCATATTCAATTATAAATTAAAACTTTCAAGAAAGTTCGAATGTGTACTTATATACACAACAAACAACAATTAAATTTTGTATCTGTCAATGCCAGACAAATTGACAGTTGTATCACGAAGCAATATTTTTATTTTATTAATATTATTATGTATATTGTCACTTTTAAATACTCCCATTTTCACATTGATTCAATCTTTCATTTACTATACTCCTATTACAGGTCAAATGTTGTTTATATGCAGCAAACGATGCACCATATACCTATATACCCAATTCTGTTTCTGTTTCTGCTATCTCTTACCTATAGCATTACATATGTAATGATTGTGCAGATTGATTCCCACATAAATTTGTAACGGCGAACGCGTGTATAGAAGTATAACTTCTACCGGCAATTCTACTGGACCGCCACACCCGTTTTTTTTTTAATATTAATAACTACAGTTAGAACCGATTTCTTTATAATTTTAAATTAAAGACATCAATAAAAGAAATTCCATTCAAGTAACTGCACGATTATTGCATGTCTGTCACTGATATTTCAGCAATCGTTAAAATATTTATTTTTTAATAAAATATACATAAACTGGTATTGCTATTATATTAAAATTTAATATTTAAATTAATTTATGCAATCAATAAAATATTTTAAATAGCATAGCAAATATAGGAAAGTATTAAATATTTAGTACTAACCATTTTGCCACAAACTGAAAAATAAAGATATCGATATGCAGCATCCATATTGAGTGACAGCAGGAGAGATAATGCCCATTATCTCCATGGAAAAGCTACAGCTTTTCCATATTTTAATACACGGTTTTAAACTGTTTGTCTCGTGTTGTTTAGATATATCAGTTAATGTTTATGACATTTACCATACTGTTGGATAGCCTAATTTTGATGAAATTCCCCTGAAGATAATCTAGGAGCGAAAGTACTTGGGCAAGATTTAATAAAAACTGTGCTCGATATATGCCTTTTTTATATTAAAGTTCATTTATTCGAGCTGTCAACCTTATATCACTTTAGATAAATAATATTTACAATCCGTAATTCGAAATTAATTGACGTTTATGCGTTTTATTCAATTATATCTCTCACAATA